ACACAGGACAGTGAGTGTGAGCGTGCAGACACACAGGACAGTGAGTGTGAGCCTGCAGACACAGGACAGTGAGTGTGAGCCTGTAGACACACAGGACAGTGAGTGTGAGCGTGCAGACACAGGACAGTGAGTGCGAGAGCAGCACCTTCCCCAGGGCCCGGTCACACCAGGTCGCCTTGCCCTAGCCCTCCTGTTGGACCTTGGGTAGTCGTATGTGTGGCTGGGATGTCTCGGGCCCACTGTGCCAGGGATTTGAACTGTGGTCGCCATGTAGGGTCTGACCATGTAGGTCTACTCCTTTTGAGTAGCACGTTATGGCAGCAATACTGAGCCAGCCCCTCTTTGTTTTTTAACTGGGAAGGAAAATACAATCATGGAAAGTAGATTACATAATCAGTGTGTGTGTCATGAGCAATTACCTGAAAACATATGAATTAATTTTTTTAATTAATTTTTATTTCATTTTATTTATCCATTCACTTTTTTGATTTGACCAGAGAAAGACACAGAGAAAGAGAGGTAGGTAGAGGGAAAGTGAGAAAATAAGCTACCAGGTCTGGGACTCAAACTGTGGTCAGCCAGGTGGGCGTGTCTAGGACCATAACCACCATGCCACCTGCTGGTCCCCTGAATTAATGATTTAAATGCCCAGAACAAAGACAGGAAAGATACATATAATATGGTGAAATATTAACAGTGGTATTTGTGGCTAACACATTTATGAGTCATTTTAATGTGCTGTATTTTCTATAGTTGGAATGCCTTTGTTGTGAACATTTATATTTTTGTTAGGAAAACAGGAGGATACTGCAAGTGATAATAATTCTTTAACTTGCAGTTCAGCTTTCCGTGCCAAAGATTATGGACAGTACCTGTGATTCAACATGCAGGTAGAGGTTATCAATAAAGCTCAGGTTTTATGAGAAACTGCTGAGATGGAAACCTCACACCCCTTTCTTGCTGTTTTATATCCGCCTACCAATACACTGTAACAGTCCCGGAGCCCGAGGGAACCTGGTAACGTCTCTAATGCTCATCTCAACACTTCAGCCCTGTGTGTGTTCTCAGTCATAGCAGAGACCACAGTGATACATTTGTCATTGTTCTCACTTCCCAGGCAGTGGCTTCTGGTGACGTCGTCCAGTCTCCACCATGTATCATTCCTTATCTGAAACCAGACACCCTCTCCAGCCAGAGGAACAAGAAGTTGGCATTGACCCTCTGTCCAGTTACTCCAAGTCTGGAGGTGAGTTCTGTGTGCAGGTGCCAAGCCCCGCAGAGGGCTCCAGTGAGCTCTGCCAGAGTTAATCCTCCTGGTGCAGTAGAGGAGGGCAACTTTAATATCATGTTCCTAGGTGCCGCAAGTGGCGTGGTAGTTAGTGTGCTGCATTCCCACATGGCCGATGGTTTGATTCCTAACCCAGTGGCTTGAAAATCGCTCCGTGTGTGCATGCCCAAAGTCCCAGGAGGAGAAGGGGAGAGAAAGCATTGTGGCATGGCTGTCTCCCCAGGGGATGATGTCTCACTTTCCCTCTATCTCTGTCTGTCAATGAACACACATTCCCTGTGGCAAAAACCTGAAAGCAAAAACAGAAACATTTCTCTGGTACTCTAGAACACTCTCAACACTAATGAATAGCAGTTATAGACAGGGTCATTAGCCAACTCCTCAGTCTCCACCGTTCTTTTAAAAACTAAGCAATACCTTCAGCTTAAGAATGTTGAAATGGAAGGTGGCCTTTGTCAAAAATCTCTTAGAAAATGTAACAAAATAAACTTTTGTTACTGACTTGGCAGGATTTTTTTCCCCCCCTCTCCAGTAAATTAAAATGTTTCTAGTCTAGAAGATCTGCCTGATAACCCTTTTTAAAAACATAGTTGAAACTTGTGTCATACTTTTAAAGTTCTATACTTTGAAATTGTTAAATTGTATACCTTTAGAACTCAGACAGTACTCAAGTTCTGCCCAGTGAAGTTTATCAAATGCTATGTCTCAGAGCTTTGTACTCTTTTCCCAGTATTTCCTTAATAATAGTAACCCCACAGTTTCTTAAAGGGAAGCAGTTACCAATAGTATGTGAAAATTCTTGAAGCTGCTGCTTCTTTATAAGCAATCACTAAATATTTGGTGAGGTTTATTGAGTTTCACTCAGGAAATACATGGATCAGCACTGTGGTATCTATTTTTAAAACATCATGAATTAGACAAAGTAATTAATGTAGGGTTTGTATGCATTAAATAAAATTATTTTTTCTGTCTCTATTGCTGCCAAAGCCTGCCATTAACTCGTTTTGAGAATTTCAAAAAATAATTAATTCTCACTTAAAGTGACTGTTTCTTTAGAAAACAGGCTCTTTACCTTTTTGGAGTGTGTTATGTTTTTGTCTATATCATACAAATGTATTATTGCTGTTAATGAAAATAGTAGTTTGCCCTTCATCTTACTTTTATGATTTAACTTTTATATTTGTTTTTGCATAAGGAATGATTTTGATAATACAAAAATTAATAGTGTGCATTTCATTCCTTTAATATGTCAGTAGTAAACATACCTTTCCTATCATGGCTTCTCTTAAATGAGATACCTGTGAGAAGCATTCATTAAGTCAGATGATTTTGCAACCCCGTCTGTAAGTAGATGTTTAAAAGTGAATATGTATTTGTGGTATGAGTATATAAAATAGTTTCACCAAAATTCTTCATAGTGTCTCTGGTTTATATGTTTATTTAAGAACATAGGTTTTTTTGGTTCTTGTTTGTTTTTTTTTTTTTTACATACATTTTTTTCCTGGTCTATTTTATTAAATGTTTATTTTTTTCTTTGTACTTTTTTGTGTCTTTTTTTTTTTTTTTAGACCTGGTTTAAAAAACATTTTAAATTAATTTTATCCTTCATTGTTTGCAGGAATCAGTAGTTACCTTTACTGAAAAGGCTTTTCGTTTATATCCTAGCCTAACATTTCTATGACATGCTAAGTTATTAGGACTGAATTGATGTTTAAAAGTGCCATTAATTCATTTACCCCAAATGTTCATTAACAATGTAAATGTATGCTGATGTTCTCTGAGACAAGGAAGTGACTAATGACTCTTCTAACTAACAACACTTAAAATGAATAGAAACTTTAGATAGCTAATCTCGAAGTAATCAAGACCCTCATTCAGCTTGGCATCTCTGTATGCTCCCAAACAGCTGTCAACTGTTAAAAATATATACAAAACACATATACGCGCACGAACATGCAGAACGGGAGATATGTAAATATCTAGTTCTTCAAAGCCATAAAGGTTACTAACCACAGTGGGTTTTGTGCATTGTATATGTAAATATTTTATATAAAGCATCTATTTCATCTCTTAGATTTCCCTTTTACAGAGAAACGTGGGTTGCATTTTAATGGGGTTGTCATATTTGCTTTCAGAATCATCACCTCTCTACTGTGTTTATTTTAGTATGTCTTCCATGGAAGTTCTTCCAGGTATTCTGCTGTAACCCCTAGGGAATCTGACTACGAGATGACTGATTTGCTAAACAGTTGCATGCTGGACTTACATCAGTGGTTTGTCTGTGTAGAAGTCAGGTATAATCAAAAATATTCCGTTATAGATTCATCAGGAAACAAAATAAGTCCTAACTTCTCAAACATGAATTTTGCCATTCATAAAGAAATAGTGCTGTTAAACAATTCTGTGAGATCTGGAGAGGGTGAGTAAAAATAGCCAGATAGTACAGAGCAAAAACTCAGTAACTGGTTTATTTTAATGTGTGGGTAAGGAAAATGGGTGAGCAACAACAACAACAAAAAATAATAATAATCTGGATATACACACAAAAAATCATATGGGATATTTTCATTGTGTATTAAACTCTTAAATGCTCGAATTTCTCTTTCAAATAAAGAACAGCCTAGGCCTTTTTGTGGTACCCTATTACATTTGGTCATACACATTCTTACCACCTTAATTTCCTGGGTCTTTCTCAGTGGATAAAATTAACTGACAAATTTCCTGTCATTTAAATGAAAACACAGAAAAGCAAAACCTATTTTGAGACTATTGAGGATTATTTGTTCTTAACATGTAATATTTAATGATCAAGTAAATGAAAAAGAAATTCATTTTATTTTAAACTGAAGACAACAATATCAAAGACAGGGAAGCAGGGACAGGCCAGGTGGCGTGGTAGTTAAGATGCTGGACATTCCCACATGGCTGACCACGGTTCAAATCCTGGACCTGGTGGCTTGCTTTCTCACTTTCCCTCTCTCTATCTCTGTGTGTGTGTCTCTCTCTGGTCAAATTAAAGTAAATGAAGAAAGAAAGTTAAATAATTCTGAAAAGAAAAGGAAAGGAGAGGCGAGGCTAGGAGAGGAGAGAAAAGGGGGAAGCATAACCTGTTAGGTGACATTGTTTTCACAGGTTTATAAGAGGCTGGGGTGTGGCTTATGATGAAAGGACATGTTTTCCTGTTAGATCTCTCTCCCTCTCTCTTAATTGGGCATGCCTGCTTGCCTGAGAGAGAAAGCACCCCCTCCTCACACTGGGTTTTGGTCAGACGGCCATCCCTTCTCCGTTTCACCATCCTGTCAGGACGCTGGGCATGCACACACACGCGCCCAGTGGTTCTAAGCCACCAGGGCCAAGATTTGAACTATGGCTGGCCAGATAGTATCCAGTCCCTTTAACCATGAGGTTATGGGTCTGTTCCCAGTTAATTCTCTTTTGAGAACATTTTGTGACATACTACCATAGTTTTTAACTTTGATATTTTATGCCAGTTACTTAACATATCTTTACCTTTTTACATAATATCGCTTTCAAAGCTTTCTTCTCATTTTCATGTATAAAATATTTAGTAATCTACTTTAAAAAATCTCCAAGATACTCAGAATCCTGCCAACTCTACTTTTACCTTCATATTTCTTTTTTCTTGGTCAAACCCCCCCCTCCCCATTATAATGTTTTAAAACTAGAAGGGGGCCGACCGTCACATGATGGTTGAGGAAGATGGAGCCCACATGACCAGCTGCCCACTTTGAGTCCTGAACCGGTAGCTTGGAGAACACGCTGGGCTTTGTGTGTGTGCCCAGAACCCTGAAAGGAAGAGAGATGGGGGAGAGAGGAGTGCTTAGCCCACTCCCCTTTAGCAAGCATACACTTCCTCTCACAAAAACAGAACAAAACAAACAAGAAGGAAAGGAAAAGAACAGAACAGAACAAAACAGAAGAGAAAAGAAAAGGAAAGAAAAAAAAGGAAAAACTTGGTAGGTAATGCTTTGAGAGGGGTTCTCAGACGACAGAGGAGAAGGTTTTACGAGAGATGAGGCAGAACCGTGTGGTGATGGAGCCCCGCCAGCGAAGTAGGAATGGGAGGGCTACAGTTTCTTAATGTCTAAGAGTGAAATGGATGGTACGGGTAACAGCAGACTTTCTGCAGTGATTCTTCAGCACCTGAAATATGTGTGCTTTATATTAAATATGTCTTTCCAATGTACGTTCTAAACTGCAAAGGAACGGTAATATGATCGTCCTCACATCTCTTAAGTACTGCATGATAATTACATTAATTCAGAGAGACATTATTTAGTGGTAGCCAGTAAACCAACTCAGCAACCTCGCTAGTTTTGTGTTATACTTTGGGTCTTTATTGACTTGGGTAGGTTTGGGTCTGAAGTGCCTTTTTAGTAAAACATCCTCCCTAGATTTCAAGGGAAAAAGTAGTTGAGACAGATGAAAAACTGTAAGTTAGGCTCTAAAGTCATCAAGGAAAATGTAGCTTTATTTAAGATAAAGATTGTTAATTAAATGGGAGAGCGATTTGGAAGTTTGTAAATGCAGTAATAAGGATAAAAATGGAGAATTTTTTTTAAATGTCTTTTTAGAAACAGATTTGTCAGGTGCTTTTGATGCAGGATATAGAGGTAACTGGAGTCCTTCCACCCAACACCGATGCAGGATCAGCAAAATGACTGGATTTGTGTCTCCTGATCAGGAAGAATGAGAAACATGGACAAAAGGAGGGGATAGTAAAACAGTTTTATCGAAAGAGAAAAGCTCCTGACGGGGAGGGATCCCAAAAGAGGGTTGGCCACTGGGGGTCTCCTCAGAGGTTCTTATCTAGCAGTCCGAGCAATGGGCTGGCTCTCTGACCTGACAAGGAAGTGTGCTGAAATTGTCTACGAAGCCGGCAGCATTCTTGAGCTCCCAGTCCTTAGCTGGGACAAAGTGCTGCTCAGGACGTTGTT